TTTTCTGAAGCTGTTAAAGTTTGACCAGAAGTTAATAATATCTCTGCTTTTTTTCTCTACGGAAATTAATGTCCTCAGCACACAGTCTGCAGAGAACTCTCTGTTTATGTATGTTTAAAAGGTAGTTAACATATTAAATGTTTAAAAATCACATCAGGTTAAAGAGCCAGTGCGATGTTGTGGTCAGAATATGGGGCCAGGTTCTTTAAGACCCGAGTTCAAATTCCCTCTCAGCCATGAAACTCACTGGATGCCCCAAACTGGAGTTTTTACAACTTTGCATGTGCCATAATTTTTCCATGTATAAGACTATACTTTTGTCTAAAATCTTTAGAGTAAAAATTGAGGGTTGTCTTATACACAGAAGTAAGCTGAGGAGAGAAAAAACAAGTGAAGGGGAAAGCAGGGATCAAAGCGATCCTGCAGCGCTTTGATCCCTTTCCCCCTACACTTGCTAAGCCCCACTTAGAATTCTTAATTTTGGGTTATAAAAGTGGGGCGTCTTATACATGGAAAAATATGGTAGTTTGTTCGGCTGGAAGGGACCTTTCTGTTCTGGGGTGACTGTCAATCTATCCAGCACAAGCCAATCGTTCCCTCCGCCTCAGAATTCAAAAAGAGCCCCGCCTCTCGGCTGAGCGGTTCCTTTCCCTCTCTTTAGTCTGTCGGAAGCAGTGTCTGTTTGTTAGTTTGCTGTTGATCTGATCACAACCGTAAGTAATGAAACATTCTTATCCTTCTCCAAAGTCTCAGAATGAGTTATTGAGACAGTAAATGCCTGTTAAGGAAAAAGAAAAAGGGGGTGGACTAACTGCGGAACTTGAAGCTCTTCTCTTCTGTGACTATTTGTAGTTTGGCTGCATAGCGAAAGGAATTTTGCCAGAAATGCAAAACTCTGCAACAGTTTCCGCTCTGCCTGTTCGCCTTCGTTGTGAGCATAAAGAGGAGAGAGCCGTGTATTTTGTCTTCCTCCTGGCTCGTTCAGAGCAACTTCCCATATCAAGGAAAAGTTTAACCGCGCCTGAAGATGTTATAATCATCACTCTCAAAGCAACCCAGAACGATTTTGACACCTAGTGGCACACCATCTTACGCTGTCTGTTTCCTCCCCCCCCTTTCCTTTCACTCGGCCTCTCTCTTGGAACCTAAATTAGGATAATCGAGCCAAGCACCGGCTTTTGAGCGTTATTTAAAATGTTGTCTCGCTCAGGAAAGGAAGTGTAAACGCGGACAGGCTTGGCGGTAGGTGGGCGTGGAGGTGTGAGGGGTGGCTGCATTCCTCCAGATGGTGCCTTCTGCGTGAATGGGAAGAGACGGAGAGGACACAAATCCAGAGTATTGCAAGAACGCTGTCAGGAGGCAACAGGATTCGAACTCATGGCTCTGCATGTTGCCATTTGAAATGGGTGTGCCGCCAGGGATGTGTAATCTCCAGAAGTTCATGGGCCACACACACACCCCTTCTAGTCATTCTTGCCCCCCCCCAAATTCTAACCCTTATCCCACACTATCCCACACCGCATTTTAGCGGGGGTGGGGGGGAGAGAGATCTGTCTTTCTCTCGGAAATTAAACATTTTGCTGCCTGGATCCGTCTTTTTCTCCTGTCCATGGAAGAAGCCAGACGGGTGAGCGAAGCAGGATCCACTGCAGCCCTTTGCTTCAGAGCATAATTTCTCCCGTCTCTCGGGCACCGATCCATCGCTTGGCTAATGCACCTTTTTTCCTTCCAACCCCGGTTACAAGCCTCTTCCCAGCGCCATCTTGCATTCATCTCCAAAATGATTGTTGCTCGGATTAAAGCAACGCGCGCACACACTTTTCTCCCCCCCCACACACTCTTGCCCAGCTCGGAGTAATAAATAATTATTGATTTATATCAGGTTGATTAAATTCCCCCGTGGAGGACTCTTGTCAGCCGTGGCTCCAGTTTTACATGCTTGGCGCTCAGAAGGAGAAGGAAGGTGGATTCCTCTCATTCGTCTTCGTTTTTCTCCTTGCCCCCTCCTTCTCCCTTCGCCGGTTCAGAGCATTTTATTCATTTGTATGGCAAAGATGATTTAGGACATTTTAAGAATGGAGAGAGAGGAAGACGGCTCCAGTATTTGACAGACAGAGAGAGAGAGAGAGAGCACACAGGCTTGCGTGGATTAAAATTTAAATCGAAATACGGCTTTATTTCGGGAGTCTAGACATCGGATGTTCAAAGCAGCCATGGAGATGACATGTAGCATCTCAGACGCCAACCGGGACCCAGTGAAACCTGCCTTCACGAACATGACGTTGAGTTTTTTTCCCTCCCAGCTTGGTTCTACAACGTATGACCTGCATGATGATGATTGTTCCATAATATCTGTCATGATAAGCAGTGTCAAGAGGGTTCAAGAACTAGAAGACGCTTTCCAGGCGTTTTGGACTACATATACCATAAACCCTGGCTCCTGGCTGAGGTTTCCGGGAGAGGACAGTCAAAGGGTTTCCTCTGGAGAGCAGAAGGCGACTCGCCCTGGATGTTGTTGCAGATTTTTTGTAATGTTTGGTTAATGCCCTCTTGCGGCTCAGAGGAATAGCTTCAAGCTCCCCACAGCAGCCTGCCCCGTTTTCTCCTCGACTGGCACTTTAAGTTCTCAAATCACTCCCTCTGAGGCATGAGTAGGAGAAAGAATAACGGGGTTCCACTCCTTACCGTTGAACGGATCAGACAGAAAACGGGACAAACGGGACCGCCTTCAGCTGCAGACCTCGACGGACTCAAGAGAGGGAAAAAGCGCTGAGCGGAGAGGCGGGGCTGTTTTTGAAATCAGAGGCAGGGAAGGAAACGATTGGTTAGTGCTGGAATGAGTGACAGGCACCCGAGCCTAGCACTCTCTCTCCCAGCCAAATACACACCATGCAAGAAATATAAAAGACTGCCACTCATAAAGTTATACAAATAGCNNNAGAATTCTGGGGGAGGGGGGGGGAATAGAGGTTGGCCGTAGCGCATGGCCTGGTGTTTTTCTGCTTCACGCTTCCAGAAAACCGGTCGCTTTTGTCATTTGCATGACCCAGTCCGCTGTGGGTTGTGGTCCGACATCTCTGTGTTTGCCTTTGAGGGGGGGACACGGCAGCTTTAGCCGGAGCCAGAATTGCGGTAGTTTGGGGTCGGGGGAGAGGGAGCAGGTACGACAACCCCTGCGTGTAGAACAAACCCTGCTTTTCCCGCTTCGGAGAGCAAAAGAGATCTCCCCGTGATAAGAGCCGCCCGCCAGTCCGCTGTGGGTTGTGGTCCGACATCTCTGTGTTTGCCTTTGAGGGGGGGACACGGCAGCTTTAGCCGGAGCCAGAATTGCGGTAGTTTGGGGTCGGGGGAGAGGGAGCAGGTACGACAACCCCTGCGTGTAGAACAAACCCTGCTTTTCCCGCTTCGGAGAGCAAAAGAGATCTCCCCGTGATAAGAGCCGCCCGAAATGATCTCAACCCTGCTTTTTCGGCTTCGGAGAGCAAAAGAGAGATCTCCCCGTGATAAGAGCCGCCCGAAATGATCTCTCGCCTGGCAGGGGAGGAATAAAAATGGCCGTGTAGAAGAGGGGAAGAGAGAGGGCTCTGTGTGCGTGCGTGTGTGTGTGTGTGTCAGAATTCTTGGCATGTTCGTGGGACATGTTCATCAAAACCAAGTAGGGCGACAAGGGAGGAGAGAGAGAGAGAGATCACTCAGAAGCTTCGGCTTAATTTAGGAGCCCTGAAAAGCATCAAAAGGATTCAAAGCCCTCTTTGCAGCTCGATTCTTGACTGCTAGCAGGGAGCTAAAGCAACATCCTGAATGTTGAGGCAGCAGGTACAAAGCGGGGAGGGGGGCAAGGATGCAGTGGGAGGCTCAGAAAGGATGCGTGGGGAGGGCTTCGTACAAACCATGGTTTTAAAAAAAAAAGAAACATACTTGGGCTCAGTTTTCCTCCCGTGAAACCAACTACATTGGGATTTTTCCGGTGCAAACCTACTTTAAACCATGGTTCCCACCGAAGCATCCTGGTTTGTTCTAATCGTGGTTTCCTGGCATGAACGTACGGTACAGAATGTCTATTCCATGGGTAGTGCTGGTTTTTCAACGCCGTCCATTCGCCAAACGTCTCTCTTTTCTCCGTCCTGTTGGATCCGGCTTTTGGGCCCATGGCTTTCTCTTTTTGGACTACAAGTCCCATGATCAGCTCGCCAGCATAGCTTGTGAACAGGCGTTGTTAAGGCACAAGGAGTGTCAAGCCAAACTCTTTTGTCACGCCACCTACTATTATTGAGAAAGGACCGCCTAGCGCAGCGGTTCCCAGCCTTGGGTCCCCAGATGTTCTTGGACTGCGACTCCCAGAATCCTTCACTACTAGCTGTGACAACAAAGGGCTTCTGGGAGTTGTAGTCCAAGAACCAAGTTTGGGAACCACTGGTCTATTGTGTTGTTGATTATGCTTTGCCATTGTTGGCCAAAGAGAGATATTGCAGTTGAGATGGGATTTTTTGGATTTGGGGGAACTACAGATCCCATAATCCTTTATTCTGGGAGGTCTCCCTGACAGGCAGACACTTAAATGTAGTTCACCTGAGAGAAAGGCCTTAACCAGAAGGCTTTGAGGCCTAGCTAGGCCTAGCTCTGCCCAAGCTTCCTGTTCCTGCCCCAGTGCTAGCTGGGAGTTTTCTTTCCGAACAGGAAGCTAGGCCTAGCTCGGTCTTGACATTTTCGGCTTAGGCCGTTCTCCCAGGCGAGCCCCATTTGGGTGATTGTAAGCTGTCTTCCTATCGGGGACACCTCCCGGAATGAAGAAAGATGGGATTTGTAGTCCAAAAAAAGAGAAATCACAGCAGAGGGCATGTGACACAGTGGGGCCAATAGGATTCCAGGGACTGCCGTGGAAAGTCTGAATGGTGCGAATTTTGACCCGAGCGCGAACAGGCACACTAATGCGCAGGCGTGTTTGGACTGACCTGTAACCTTTGTTTTTTCTCTCTTTTTTTGTTTTTCTCCCTTTGCAGTTACAGAAAAGGAGGTCCAGCAGTGGTGAGTAGCCATCGCTATTTGAGATTCTTCCAAGTGGAGTTCGGCGGGGGGCCGGTTGTGCATGCGCGCATGTGCACGGAAAACCGAAGGAACAGGGAACTGTGTTATGGACGTGAGTCCTTTCTTGCGGGTCCGGTTTTCTCCTTCCTCGAATGCGCTTTGCTCTTCTGCTGGCAGTGCCCGCACGCCACCCCGTTCCTCGGTGGGCAAGGAAGCATCTGAGAAGGGGTGGCTTTGATCCGAATAAACAGCTCGTGGCGAGGAAACAGCATGCATAGCCATTTTTTGGGGGGGTGTTTGAGGTGCGCCAGCCCATAGCTACCTTTCCTCGGTTTGCTCACCCCTCGTCGGGTTTTGACCGAGAAACCAGGTCACCTTCATCTTGCGGGTGATTCCCTCCGCCTGTTTCGTCCGCCAGACTTGGTGCCCGGAAAAAGAAAAAAAAACGGCGCAAGGCGTGTCATCAGGGCAAACGGCCAGAGTTGCTAAGGCACGCCGGCTCTTGTCCGCGTGTGTTTTTGATGTAGGTCAACGTTTCAATTAAAAATCGGAGGCGTGAGACGGCACGTCGATTCCCCGGCCTGGGAAACTTTATTTTCTTTTTTTGCATGTGTCATAACGAGCCTCAGTCCGGCCCCTGTCAAGAAGGCCGGAGGGGGGGGAATCGAACTCGGAGCCAGAGGTTGGGAATTCGAATTCCCCCCCCCCACGGTGCCTCTTTGACAGGGGCCGGACCCCATGATCCAGAGGTTCCCTTTCCGCTCTAAGAGGAGGATGAGGAGGAGGATGTTGGTTATGATGATCATGTGAAACATCCGAATTAGGGCTCTGCAATTTTGCTGGTTGGATAGCTCAGGAGTTTAGGTGAGGTTGGGAGTTCGAATCCCACCCACCCCCTAATCCAGGGGGGCCCTTCCAGCCATGCACTTCTAAGATGAGGAGGAGGAGGAGGATTAGCTAGCCTCGGATGATAACTCCCATGTCTGGAAAGTTTCTCGCTCTGCTTTTCAGGTGTGTCTCAACACTAAGATAAACTGGGCCTCCTGGACAAGGGCTGGACTCCATAATCCAGGGGGTCCCTTCCAACCACGCAGTTCTAAAATGAGGAGGATGATTAGCCTTGGAGGATAACTCCCATGTCTGGAAAAGTCTCATGCTGAGTTTGTCGCTCCACTTTTCAGGTGTGTCTCAACACTAAGATAAGATCACATTTAAAAGCAACCGGGGCACAACAACGATCTTTGAGAATCCTCCTGCTGGCACAGGCTGTCTCGGGGGATTCTGGGCCTTGTAGTCCCCCCCCCGAAAAATAACTTCTGGGCTCTCCCTCGGCCGTTCTTTTCTTGCTCTCTCGTCCAGCATCGGCTCCTTCTCCTCCCTTTTCTGCCTCTTTGCTGAGTCACATCTGCAATAATACGAGAGAAGAAGGAGATGCAAGCATTCCTGCCGCCCTCCTCCTCCACCACCACCATCTCCTCTTCGTTGCTCCTTTCCTCCTCCCCACCCACCCAGCGCTGCCTGGCAGGGATGCTTCCATCCGCACTTGACAGATTCAGGGTGGGCTTCTTATGTAAAAGCTCACACACCCCTCCCGAATTCCACCTCCTCCTTGCCCCCAAGCGGCTGTTTCTCCCGGCTTCGGTTCCCTGTTTATTCCTCTGGTGTTTACGAATTTTTCCCACTTCCCCCCCCCCCCCCCCCCCCCCGATAGTATCGGATGTTTCCTGCACAGCTTGTTTTGCAAAGCATGAACCCCTTCCAGGAGAAAACCACTCGGATGAAACCGACCCAAGAAGAAAGGAAGGCCTGTTTTTTTTCTAATTGCAGTTGGGGGAAAAATGGAGGTCTCCCTCTTTTCCTGCTGCCTTCGACTTTTGCGTGCCTTATTGTCTTTTCCAGGAGGTGCCCAAAGCAGGACAACCTCCATTGCATCATTTTTGCCTCTAGAGAAGCTTGATTCAATCCGGGACCCACTTGTTTGTCTTCTGGACAGTATCCGGAAATCTCTCCTCCACCACCACATTTCAGATGAATCAGGTTCCCCCCCCACGCCAGCTTTCTTCACTGTCCAAATTTCACTCCCAAGCATGATAATCAGAAACCGTAGAGTGTGGATGATCTCAGCCTTCCTCTCCAAGGACCCATCTTTACCCTTGATGATCTTTTCTTATTCCTTCATGGCTGCCCTTCCATGTCCCTTCTTCTGATTTCTCGACTGCCGTCTCCGTTTGGATGGACAATTGAACCAAAAGTATACAAAAATCTCTTTAACTCTTTCAGTTTCTCCGTCGTCAGGCTAAAGTTCTTCCTTAATCATGATTTTTCATGTTCAACTGCAGTCCTGCTTTGGCGCTCTCTTCTTTTATTTAAAAGTCATTTCAAGCCCTTGCTGCTCTGCCAGTAAGGATGGCGTCATCTGCGTATCTCAGATGACTGGTGTTTCTTCTGCCAATTTGAACTCCACCTTCATCTGAATCTCATCTGGCTTTCTGTATGGTTTGCTCTGCCTACAAATTGAACAGATAAGGGGACCAAAAAAATATGCCCTTTCCTGACTCATTTGCTTATAGCAGTTCTGCCTATAAATTGAACAGATCAGGGGACCAAAAAAATATACCCTTTCCTGACTCATTTGCTTATAGGAAACCATTCTCTCTGTCTCCATATTTTGTCCTGACAGTAGCTTCTTGTCCGCAAATCGGCTTACACACCAGGAGAATCAATGCAAGACAAGATCTATTAATATCAAATTTCAAAGAAAAAACACCTGGTAGTATCCCTAATATTTTCGGCGGTTCGGTGGAGACCTCACGGCAGAGATTTGGAGGGGGGGGTCATGGCGAAAAATAAATCTGGAAATTTTTGTAAGATTTTGCTTTGATAAGATTGCTCTTGGGGGTCAGTTTGGACGGTGCAAAGGGAGCCCGGTTCGGTGGAGACCTCACGGCAGAGATTTGGAGGGGGGGGTCATGGCGAAAAATAAATCTGGAAATTTTAGTGAGATTTTGCTTTGATAAGATTGCTCTTAGGGGTCAGTTTGGACGGTGCAAAGGGAGCCACGCGCTGTGGGTTTGCTTTAATGCAAAATAACCCCTTATGTGGGTTTCTAAGCACAAGGAACCACTATTTCCACAATTTTCTCATAAGTGGGGACGGCAGGGGCCTTCAAGGAGACCACGGATCGCGCGCTTCCCCCCACAGTGACAGATTCACCCTAAATCCATGGAGCAGGGAGAATCCTTCCGGCCACGTAGCTCCTTCGGTGGCCATGAACGTTGTTTTTTTTTCCTAGTTGTGGGGCAGATACATTGACTCTCCAAGCTTCACTCTGTCGCTCCGGAAAGGAGGTTGTCCGTGTGGGAAAGAGTGATGATGACGCTCTTCCCACCACCCACCACCCCACTTTTTTTGTAAATCTAGCAAGATCGAGGAGGACCGGGGGGGAGGACCGGGGGGGGGGCATTTCTACTGCAGAGATAATTTCAGGGCATCCATGAAAGGTGCCGAGGAGGAGAGCAACGCCGAACAAGCCGGGGGGTCACCCTCATCTCTCCTTCGTTGGCAAAAAGGATCTTTTTTCAGATCCGTCCTCTGCCACCTTCCTCTTTTTTTGTACATCTGAGAAGCAACAGACGGATTGATCTTATTCACGCAAACTCTTTGTTGCCGATTTTATTTTGTACTGCTCTTTTGGGACTATGGTTTAAGTGTGTGTGTGTGTGTACGAGTGGTTTGAGTGCCTTTCTTGCCCCTTTATCCCAATGAAGGGAGTCGAATCCGTCCTTTCCCTTGTCCTTGACTGTACCAAATTTTCCCAAATATTTTAACAAGGATAAGGTTGGCCAATGTGAAAAACCAGCTTTTTTCAGGAAAAAGGCGGCCATCTGCAGCTGTGTTACTTCCCAAAAAGCTGGTTCTCGGGGGGGGNTATCTTCTCTTTAAGACCCAGAGGGGGGGGGGAAAGAGAGAAGAGACCTAGCAGCCACCCTTAGCACCTTCTTTGGCAATGCAACGCAGCGCTATGTCAAGTGAGCGCCGTGCACCGTGACAGTGCTCTTTGATATCTGCAGGAGAATACTTTTTGCAACCATTTCTGGCCAGTGGCAGTGTGAACGGATCTCCTGATTTATGCCGTCTCACCTTTCCACCCACCCCCTCTTGATTCGATTTTAATTCCATGCTCCAGGGACCTGGAGGGTTAAGCTTACCCTATAAAAGAAGACACACCGCCGTTTTATCGTGCATTATATAGCCAGTACACTTCAACAATATACCTCCGGATATTGCTGAATAGCAACCGTAACCACCTTTGGCATTCCGATGAAAGGGATTCGGGTCCGCCTGGCCTTGAATCCAGGACCCTCTCCGGGCATCTTCTGTCCCTCTTGTATCGTAGAAATCCTATGAATGTCACACACTGATTGTGCACGTGCAGGGAAAACGGCCGTTCAGCATTTTTGCCTGCCCCCCGAAGGGTTTCGTGCAGGAGCCGCTAACCTTTGTGCGAAGAATCGAGCAGTTAGAATTCACCTCCCTCCGGAGGCTGCGGGAGACGCCGGTAGCGCCGATTTTATCCGAGAGGTCATCGGGAGAAGGAAGGCGTGCTCAGAATGTCTTAGCAGGAACGGATGATGAGTTATCAGCGGCCTTCCTGGTGCATGGGGACCCTTCCGTCACGGCTCTCTGATGAGGCAGAAATGCAGCAGGGAAGAGCAGCATGAGGCCCTTTTCAAAGCACGGCACAAGACGTTCCGGGCTGGAACAGATCAAGACGCATTTAATATAGCCTTCTGTTTCCAACGGCGGTCGGTCGGAGGCCTCCAGGAAGCAGGCTCGAACTCGGGACCAGCATAGCGTTTCCCCCCCCCCCTGCAAACCTCATTTTACCCAACCCGGCCTTGCGTCGAATTGCATTTATTTTTATTTGATGTATATTTTATTGCCTGGTGCCAAAAAAAAAGGTGACCGGGATTTACATCCAAATTTCTGCTTTGGTTTAAGCTATCTTTAAGAAACCGGGTTCCCTGCTAATCCTTTATATACATATTTTTTTAAAGTTTTAATTGAGTGCTAATTGAAAGCTTCTGTCGGGGCTGGCACGGTGGACTTCAGCAGCAAATCGGAAGTGTTAAACCCTGCTGTGACACCACACATTAGTCATAATAGTCATAATAAGTTAGTCATAATAAGCCTCCTCCCTTTTACAAGAAGCGGAAAGTTATAGTAAAAAAGCAGGGCCTGGAGTAAGATTAAAGGGAAGGTTCGTGTGGACGCCAGGCTGGACTGGCAGAATATGTCTACGAGGGCACGCCTTGCTTTAATGGGTAGAGTAGAACTCGAGAGGACCTGAGTTCGAATCTCTATGCAAGCTCATTGGAGAATGGCATTGGGAGAATGAACATCTCACATACTTAGAAAACTGTATTAGGGTTGCCGCAAGTCAGAATCAACATGATGGCACAGAACAACATGGAAAGTCTCCCCTAACTGATGACCGACATGTTATTGACGTGTTGAATTAGACTGGGTTAACAATAGCACGTCATCAAAATACTGAATCGTCTGGATACTGAATCACCACCTCTGGAGGCACTCTGGACAGCTCCTGCAAAGTGGAAAGTAAAACCTGGAGCGGAGCTGCAACACCCCTGACCCTGGAGTCCACAGCCATCCCGCGACATGGGAAAATGGTGTCTTAAAGCCGGCTTGTACTCTCAGAAGCACGATTCCGCTTTAAAACAAGGCGGGCACTCTCTGTGCGTCTTGTTTTGAGAGGACATGGTGGGCTTTCTGAGACAGGACGGCAGGAAACTTGAGTTGTATGGCCACTGCCGGGTATGGCCCCCCAATCAGTTGGAGGAACTTCGGTGGAGACCCCATTTCTCGAGATGTTGCACAGCCCCGATAGATATCGGAACAGCAGCCAACAGAGCCGTTGACGCAGAATCGCTGAAGTCCCCTCCTGGGGATTTCAAAAGGACCTTGTAGATGGGGAGATGGGAGTCCTCCTTCCCGCTTGAGCCAGTCGGAAGAGAAAAGGGCCGGCCGGCCCGATTTTCTCCCCTACAAATTGGCTTATATGGAGAAGAGCGAGCAGAAGCCATATGGAGCCACCAAAGACAAAGGCTTCGGCAAAGGGAACCCTTTTTGACCCAAGACCGACCCGCCCCTGCTCCGGAAAGGTAAGCCAGAATCCCTCGTTGACAGCGCCAACATCCATCACCGTCTCTCTTCCTGTAAATATTATTCTCAAGCCGGCTGCTGGGTTACCTAAATCAGAAATCAGATGCGAAGGGGAAGGGACCCGACGGATAAATATTTTGGCCGTTCGTTCCCACGGATTAAGACGCGGAGATGGATGGGTGACATGGTTTGTCTCCAACTGGATGGGTCCAGATTCGGAGAGCCACAGCACTACGGCTGGGGGAAAATAACAGCCTTAACCTTAAACGGACTCAGGAAGATCCCTGACGGAAGAGACACAAATGGGTCCATCGCTCCATCTTTTTCCGGATCCAGTTTTCACCCATAGCGATCTAGTTGCTTTGGGAAGACCGTAAAAGCAAGCTTTGGGGGCAGTAGATTTTCCTTTGCGATTCCTCCTTCCTAAGCCGTTGGGATTCAGAGGTAGACTGCTCCTGAACAAGAAGGATCTGTCTGGCTACCATTGTCTTTCCCTCTATACATGGGTCTGATCTCCTTATGTTACTTTTTCTGTATTGGTTTTATTGGTTTTTCCTCTCCTGGAGTGCACCCTTCAATACAACAACCACTTTGCAAGGTAAATCAGTAGATCGTTGAGGAAAATCACACGGCCGTAACAAACAGACCTCTTTCACATTTAACGGAGCACCTCTTCTAAATACAGGATAAGCGTGCTGTCTCGTTTAACCTTGCTTTGTGGTTTGGCCCCTGAGCCATTTTACCTGTGCCGTAGTTTCGACACGAGACATTTTTAAATGCATGTCAGAAATGACCTGCTCCAGAAATTAAAATTTTTTCATGCTTTACTTCTTCTGAAGCTACAGGAATTCTGGGTGTGCTTCAAATGTAATCTCTGTCTCTCTCCCTCCCTTTCCCAGGTACAAAGGCTTTATCAAGGACTGTCCTAGCGGGCAGCTGGATGCAGCCGGATTCCAAAAAATCTACAAGCAATTTTTCCCTTTTGGGGATCCTACCAAGTTCGCCACTTTCGTCTTCAACGTCTTTGATGAAAACAAGGTAACTTTGCACCTCATCCCTTTGTGATTTGCTTTCCCACTTTCCTTTAGAGCCCTGGAGGTTACCGACTCCCATTTCATGAGGCATTGAATCCGCTCCAGGTTTTCATGTGCCATTGTGTTTGGGAGATATCACATAACAGCCCTTGAGATCGCTTCTTTTAAAGCTTTGGCTAAAACCTGGACTGGATTCACCGCCCTGCCTCTGTAGAATCGGACTCACCAGTCTCTGCTACTCATGATTGGGATCCCTGCCTTGAGCAGGGGGTTGGACTTGATGGCCTCAGGGACCCCTTCTGACTCATTCCATGAGTCTATGAAATTTAGATGTGGGAGAAAAGTCTTCCATTAAATATGTTCTAGACCCCTTCTGACTCATTCCATGATTCTATGAAATTGAGATGGGGGAGAAAAGTCTTCCATTAAATATGTTCTCTTCTGGAATCTGCGAGGTGATTTCCGGATAACGTTTTTCTCAGAGTGCATAACATACAGATTTGTATGTAAGGCAAAAAAATAAATTTAATTAGAGAAGGATGGCTTCTGTGTATGCTATAAACATTGATATATAACAGAAATCCAAGTTGTGCTAATTAATGTGATCATTGCTTAAAGATCTAACAATATGTTGCTATCCAAATACTTTGATTTCTTTTTTTATTAAGTACAACATTTGGCATTTTTATTTTCCGTTTTTCCACCCAGTCCTGAAATGGCAAAATTTACTGTGCCATATGCTCGGGGAGGGGCTGATTCCCCCAATCCTCACCCACCAAACCCACACTCGGTATAATTTCAGTTTTGCTCATACAGAACTCACTGCAGAATCCCTTACTTCTCTGCCCACCTGCAAATTCCATAGCATTGAGTGGAATTAATTCCCAAGTTTATGCACGCTACGGTATGAGCATTTACACTACCGAACGGGGTATTTATTGTTGAAGTTGGTCAACTTATGGTGATCTAACGGTGACATGTTTAGGGCGTGGCTTTACCTGTTCCATTTCCATGGTGAGCGGGGTTTCGAACCCAGGCCTCCTGAGTCTTAGTCCATCACTCCATCATAGGACACTAGGACACCGCCCCCTCTTATCTGTGGGATCAAGATCCACTCACTCACTTACCTGCCGTCTGAAAATATTAAAAATATGAAAAGAAGAATCCCAGAAATATAATCCTAAGGGTGATGTTTCCAGACCTGGTCACTAGAGGGAGCCAGAGACCATACTATGTTTAGTGTTCACTGTAATCCACATTTTTTGGCATCCACGAGGGCAGTTAGATCCAATCTCCCACAGATACGGGGGATCCTAATGTATTTAAGGAGTGGTTTTAGCCATTCCACTCCTCTTCCATCTATTCTGCACGGTAGACTATTACTTAGACAGTCATATGTTCTAAGAGGTCTAGTTACATCCCTCTCTTTCCTTTTCTCAGGATGGAAGGATTGAGTTTTCCGAGTTTATCCAGGCCCTCTCCGTCACTTCTCGAGGAACCTTGGATGAGAAATTACGGTGTAAGTATCCAAGCTCCGTTTGAAAATCAAAATTGGACCTTTTCTCTCCCAAAATTCGGGGTTGGACAAATTCGCCCTGCGGAGCCGTAAGATTGCTTTCTCCGAACGACGCCCAGGATCCTGTCTTGTTTCTTTTTTTGCTGTCAGACAGGTCATTATTAAAGTGGTCTGAAGCCGTTAGCCGTTGGTAGAGAGTAGAAATGAGCCATCTCTGTTTCATCACGTTTCTCCAAATCCCAGAACTTGGAAAAGCTTTATTTTTTTTTTAGACTACAACCCCCAGAATCCACCAGCCAGCTCTCATCTCATCGTACTTCCTTCCAGCTGACTTCCCCTTACACAAATAGGATCCAAAGCTCACGTTCCCCAGCTCTCGGTGTTGACGTTTTGCAGGAAATACCTCCCAACCTGGGCTGTCTGTTTTTCGTGATTCATTTCTTTCCGCTCTTCCAAAGGCCAGCCATCATGTCCCTCTGCTTCTCTTTCTGGTTTCAGGGGCCTTCAAACTGTACGATCTGGACAACGACGGATACATCACGAGAAACGAGATGCTGGACATTGTAGATGCTATTTATCAGATGGTGGTAAGCAACCCAAAATACAACAGACTCCGGCTGTTATTTCCCAAAAGAGCCACCTTGAGTGATGCAGGGAGACCCACACGTTACCTTAGCCCTTCTCTCGTTTGCGCCTTGAGACTCTTAAAGGGTCATAATTTGGTGGAGAAAGAAACGGCTTTATTTCCTCCAAAGTTTTGATTCTGTGCTGATGGGACCTACCGTATTTTTCGCACCATAAGACGCACTTTTTTCACACAAAACAGAGGGGTGGAAGTTTTCCTGTTTTCTTCTCCTAAAAAATTGGTGCGTCTTATGGAAAGGTGCGTCTTATGGAGCGAAAAATAACTGCTAGAATCCAGTTGGTGTTTTGCTTTTTTTTGTTTATTTTATTTATTTGTTGGGGGGGTTGTGAGGGCCTCGATACCCCCATGCAAAAATCTGCTTCTTCCAGGAACAAAACCCACCCTTTTTTTCCAGAAAGGAAATTGTGAAAGATAATTTTCCTGCCTCAGAGTTACGGAGGGCTCAGTGGGGAACTGGAACCTCCGAAAAACAGGTTAGGGGACCACCTTTTGCTCACGCCCACGCTGGGAAATGAAAACAGTCTCCGTGCAACACTGTAGAAGTAGCAAAGCAGAAGCACAAAATCCATTCAGCGTTCCTCCTTTCTACCTACCCACAGGGCAATACTGTGGAGCTTCCGGAAGAAGAAAACACACCGGAGAAGAGAGTGGACCGGATTTTTGCCATGATGGATAAAGTGAGACGTTTTCTGATATCTTCGGCTCCTGGCGTGCCACCTAGGGCTGTGACTTTCAGGTTTCTTGGACTCCGGCAGCCAGAAATCCCCAAGAACCACCCCTTGGGCCAGATTCCAGGATTTCCTGCTTACAGACGCATCCCGACGGACGCCTGCATTTCACTCGCCTGGAAAACAGGGCCTTAAGTTCCAAACTGTCTCGGGCCTACTTCCTGTACAGAAAGGAAGCTATCCCAATGCTCTGTAGGAGGGCAAGGTCTTCATGGGAGATGTAGCTTTGCTGCCCATCAGGCTCTATCTCAGAGCTCCTCCAAAGAATTACATCTCCCAGGAAGCAATGGGGCACTTTTTGTACAGGAAGTAGGCCCTGTTCGAGGTGAGCGAAAGCTAGGTCTCTGTACGTAGGAACTCCTGGAATTCTACCTGGAGAATTCTTAGAGAATTTTGGGGGGCAGAGTGTAAAAGACACCACCCCCAAATGATACACTCCCAGTCCAAATTTATGCTCCCTCTTGTTTTGTACTACTGTCGCTCCTGACACGCCCAGCCATCCTGGTTCTTGGGAGATACTGGGCAGCTTTGATTGTTTCTATTCATTGCGCCCCTTTGGCTCTGCTTTACGTCAACCCAGGGAATATGGCTTGCTTCCATGCCACTCAAGTTGATGTGGAATAAACATCTAGAGGTGTTCCACCCAGGAATGAGAAAACCCATAATTCAAGGGTCTCACTCGTCGTTCATGTACAGAACGCTCTCAATTCGGGACCCGCACCTCCTGTTTGTTGGAGGCTTCCAAGCAGGCGTCGGGCGAGCCTCTGCGTTGGCAGGCGGTCGGTCTAGGCACCCTCCCATCTCAAGAGTTCTGTGATATCCCCACGGAAAGACTGTGTTGGCAGGCGGTCGGTCTAGATGGCCCTCAGCACCCTCCCGTCTCAAGAGTTCTGTGATTTCCCCACGGAAAGATTCTTGCGGGTTGGTTCCCGAACCAGATTGATCGGCAGTGCTTGGATTTGACAGAAGCCGGGTGGGTGGGTGGTTGGGGAAAATGTGGGAAGAGATTATCGCATTTGTTAAAAATAATTTGAAAGGCTGTCAGGCAGGAAAAGGAACAGACTTTGTTCTCTCTTGCTTCGGAGAGCGGCGCTCAAACGCATAGGTTGGGAATTGCAAGGAAACCATTTCTTAACTAAACATCGGGATGAATTTTTCCGGGCGAGAGCTTTCGGGCAGCCGGTAAGGCCAGCTTCTGGAGATGGCTGGCTCTCTTTTTTGCTGGAAGCATTTAAACAGCAGAACCTGTATGAAATAGGAGGGACTGGCCGCATTCCCCACCACCACCCCGAAGTATGATTCTGTGCTAATAGGATTTAGCTACTAAAAAAAATCCCACACCCATTGATTTTGAAGTCTCCAACCTAAATCTGCTCGCTGAAAACCCCCCCGGGAAGGGGAGGTTTCTGTAAACAGAACCATCTGAGCATTAGAATTTCAAAAGCAGCTTTTTGATTTATCTGGGTTTCTCCTCCTCCTTCGGTAGAGTTTGGCACGTGGGGAGATGAAGCAGGAAATACGGAAAATAGGTCACCTTTGGGAAATCTGGACAGGTTGGGGGGCAGAAGCGGGTGAAAATAAAGCAAGCCTAGGTGCTTGAGTCGTCAGCCTTTGGGGCTGCAAATTAATGGGTCCCAAGCTTGGGTCCTCCAGATACCCTTGGACTGCAACCCACAAAAATCTTGGCCAACACAGCTGGTGGGGAAGGCTTCTGGGAGTTGTAGTCCGCGAACATCTGGGGACCCCTGATCCACAGGATTGGGATTTCGGTTCACAGTCCCTAGCCAACAAGGCAAGAACTGTGAAAATCGTAAGCCAGAACAACTAGGAGGGTTTGGTGCGAAGACTGTCGTCATCATCTTAGAACGGCAAAGCTGGAAGGGACCCCAGAGATCATCTAGTCCAGCCCCCATCAAGGAGGTACCCATGGGGGGAATCGAACTCCCAACCTCTGGCTCTGGGGCCAAATGCCTCAACCATGGAGCTATCCATGTATAAATGGGAAGGAACAGACTCGAGGTTGGGCGTTCGAATCCCCCACAGGGCCTCCAGAGAGAAGAGGCCAGCCTGGGTGGCCTTGGGCAAGCTGCACCGTCCCAAGGATGCCCCCTAGAGGAAGGGAAGGGTCAACCCCTTCTACCTAAAAGACTCTGAAAAGAATTGGTTGGACGGCACATCGTTATTGTTACGGATTCAGATGCCGGGCTGCATGATCCGTCATGGAGCCACCGGCTTTTCCTTCCTGACTCTGTCCCCTCCTTCTTCCGCTCTTCCAGAATGCGGACGGCAAGCTAACGCTGCAGGAATTCCAAGAGGGCTCGAAGGCTGACCCTTCCATCGTCCAGGCGCTCTCGCTGTACGACGGACTTGTATAATTCCCTGGCCCCTCCGCTTTGGTGAGTCCCTGTGGCTAAAGGCCGGCACGCGCCCAACAGGTCAACCGCCAATGGACCGCAGGAGGGAACGGTGTACCGCGATGCCACCAGTCAAAGTTTCCGGTTCTTACCCCATTGAAAAGAATGCCTTAGGGGGTGTGGATGGGGGCATTGGGTGGAGAAGTGAAAGGGGAGGGCAGGAAGTCCCCTTCCCCCCTAGATCATCTGATGGTGCGGCAATTAGACTTTGGGAGTTGAAGGAGGGAAGTAGCTCCCTTGGAAATGATGGAACAAGCTTGTTAAATGTAGCTATTGGGTTCCGATTAGGAGAATTTTGACTAAACCTTAGGAGGAGCTTCCTGTAACTCAGAGTCGCTCAACGATGTGATGGACTCTCTTAGGAGAGATATGGAGTCTCCTTCGTTGAGGATTTCCAAATACAGGTCGGAGGGCCGTCTAGCAAGGGATCCACCCAACGGTCCTGAATCAGCAGCAAGTTGGGTCTCTAGAGTTGGATTCCCCAACAGTAGGTCCCCAGATGTTCTTGGACTACAAACTGTAGGTTCTCAGATGTTCTCGGACTACAACCCCCAGAAGCCTTCGCCCCTAGCTATGTTGGCCAGGATTTCTGGGAGTTGTAGTCCAGGAACATCTGGAGACCCAAGGTTGGGGGGGACCGCTGGTTCTAGATCATGGTTTGTATTGTCCAGCTGATTCTCCAGACCAGGGTTTGGAGGCTCATGAGAACCAACCCAAGGACGGAGTCTCATGGTGTCAAGGAGGGGTTCCCCACCTTGGTTTCCCAAATGTTCTTGGGCTAAAACTCCCAGAAGCCTTCACCACTTGCTCTGTTGGCCAAGACTTTTTGGGAGTGGTAGTCCAAGATCCAAGGCTGAGAACCACCGGTCTTCAAGACGACCTTATAGATCACACCTTTCAGCTGCACAGTTCTGCGATTCCTGTTTAATTCCCCATCATCTCCTCTCTTCTCCCCTTCTTCTCTCCCTCAAGACACATCAGAAGGAACCCCCTTCCAGTGCCATCAGACACCACCGCCCCCCGACAAGATGCTGATCTGACGTACGCCCGCCCTCCTTTACTTCCAGCGACAAACCCGGGGGGGGTGCGTGCGCTCGGAAGTTCGACGTCAAACCCAAACACCGTGCGCTTGATTCCAACTTCTCTCCATTTGCCAGCTGCTATGTCGAACAAAGACGACGGGAGAAAAGGGAGTTTGTTTATCGTAGAAAGAAAAAAAACCAAGAAGTCAAAACAACACAAAACTGCAAAATTTCGTTGGGGGCCAAGAGATGTCGCTGGGCGGAGATTCCTCTCCCGTGTTAAATTTTCGGTTTTCGAACGGACTAAGAACAAGCGATGTTTTTTATTTTCCTTTGCGGAGAAGAAAATGCGGACGGGAGGTGTAGGTGCTGTTAAATGCGATGTGTCCGACTGGACCGGATCGGAACCGGCAGGGTGGAATTGCTTTGACGAAAGCAAGAGTTCTGGCTTTTAAACCAAGGCAGGGATCAGGGGTTTAAACCAATGCATTCAAATGCAACGATCTACCATATCAGCTTGGTTTGCTGAAAATTCATTGCTAGGGAATATATATATATATATATATATATATACACATACACAAACATATGTATTAATTTGCAGAGGGGAGTGATTTGACACAATATTGTATGCTTTTATTTTCTTTTGTGTGTGTGTGTGTGTGTGTAGAAAAAGCGAGGTGCTTTTTTTTGTCCTAAGCAAAAAAAAAAAGACCTCTAGATTATGGGTACCTAATTATTTATTTGCCATTTTTAAATGTCGCTGCTGTTGTTTTTGATATTGCGTTTCGGAAAGATAAAGGGAAAATGTGATCAAAGGTTGTCAGGTTTACGCGGATCGCTGCTGTCAAGGTGTTTGTCACCGGCGGTAGAAATTAAGCCAAAAAAAAAAAATAAATAAGGGGAACTATATATATATATCTATCTCTATATATATCTTTTCCCCAAACTTAGAAATGTGTACTCTGCAACTGGCTGAAACAGAAGAGGATAAATGCAAATTTCCTCTGTTTTTTTTAATTTCTTCTGTCCCTCATCCATTCCCACCAGAAGGCTCAGATTCAATTTAAAAAAAAAGAATTAAATTAAATAAATAAATCATAATAAATAAATTAAAGCTTTCTGTTGAGCCTTAAGAGATTTCTAGCCCTTGCTCCTTGCTCGAGGGAAATTGTCCGGATGTCTTTTTCCTCTATGTATGTGCGCGCCTTCCTTTCCATTTTTTCGGCCTCCTGCTTTATGTTCATTTTTACTCTGCTGTAAAGACTAAAGTTCCGTCCGCCGCGTTCTTCTGCATGAAACAAAAAGCGTTAATGCGGCCGATACTGCTGGAGCTTTAAAGACAAATCTTTCTGAAAGAAAAAAAACGAAAAACACAAGACTTTGTTTCCTCGTGCATGTTTGAATGTCTTCTTCATTTTTTTAAAACTTGAATTATGATATGCCACCTTTCCTCTGGAGATCTCAAGACAATATATATGGTTTCTCTCCACCTAACTCTGTCCTTACAACTGTCGTGTGTGTGTGAGAGAGAGAGACCTTGGCGAGCTCAAAAGTTACCGAGGGACTGTCTTTTCATACCGGGGAGAAGAGAGATGGGCACGAACCGATTTGGCAGTTCGTGCTGGTTCGTTTTTGACAATGGTGGCAGTGGTGGAAAAAGTGGTAGGACCGGGCAGGGATTCAGTGGGGGCACAGCGAGAAGGGAACGGGCACGTGGGCACCCACTCTGCCAAAGTAGAAAAGGGGCCAAGGTGAAAACAGCTTGTGCTTCGTTTTGCCAAAACAGGATCCCCCGAATTCGGTCACAAGCCAGACCACGAAATGGTCCAATTCGTTGATTTTTTTCCCCGGTTCGTGATTCGGTCCGTGCCCATCTCTAGCCCACATACACAAAAACACAGCCCATAATCCTATCGGAGATATATTATACAAGGAACCCCGCTCAGTCTCGGTGACAGGTTGTTGCTAGTTTAACAAGGTGGTTGTATAAGGGTGCCGAGAGCGCCTCTCAAAAACGAGCAGGAATTTGCTGCCAAGGCATATGCACTTCCCTGCGTGCCAGCACAAATCACCGACAGGATCTCGAATCCCGTCTGTTTGTTAGCCAGTTCAACTGCCTTTTCATATAAATACTTGTTTACAGTTTGCTATCCCAGCTTCCTAGTGGTTTCCTACTTGGACCATCTGGAAGTCCCTTAATAAGTAGGGGGAAATCAAAGAATAATCCAGCGGAATGGGGCAGCTTGGATGGCAGGACACATCTTCTGTGACTGGGGAGAAATTCAATCCGTGCAGCACTTATGTGAATACAATTTATGCCCCACCATGTGCCAGAAAAAAACAAAGGTCCAGCAAAAGGCGAAAATAAAGCTATTGAAGTAGGCCACTTCTGGTCAGCAACATAAGCCACCCAAAAAATCTGGTTCAGACAACAGGTGGAAAAGTTGTGTTTTCAAAATGGCATCTTTCGCTTTCTTAATTGATTTTGAAATGCAGTAGGTTCCCCCTATCCACGGGATCAATATCCACTGATTCATTTATCCTCTGGCTGAAAAATACTAAACTCAAAACTCCAGGAAATCCTATTTATATGCATTTCCAGCGTGTAGGTACCAGAACAGGCCAGTAGAGGGAGCCAGAGACCATGCAATATGTATAGAGTTCGCTTCTTCCACGTTTTTCGGTATCTGCACGGGGGCTTGGAACTGATCCCCTGCTTACTGCAACAATGCAACCCAGCCCATATAAAGGTTCAGAGCAGCATGGTGGATGGAGCGCAACACAGATAACCTTGCACAACTGCCGTAAATCAGAAGAGGTTTCCAGCTGGCAGCTTTCAAATTTCTGCAATCACACCCAGGAGTAAGGGGATCCTAGAAGCTTTACTCTTTATTTCCCAGAACCACAAGAGCAGGGATCTGACATATTCTGGAAGATTTCCCAGTCTGTTTTCATTCATCAGGTGTACATTGGCACGTCTGCTATTATAATCCAGCAAACGCAGTAATTCTGCAAAGTGCCATCGTACGGTTTTCCACAGGGGCGTGCTTTACTGCGGCTTCGGCTGTCTCATTCATGATGTCTACGCTGGCGGGAGGTAGACTTATAAGGCTGCTAACTAAATATGGGGATGAATTAAAAAAACAATCACAGTATTCATCAGAAATTGCAGATTTGTGTCATGTCTGTCACTTTCCATTCGTCCTTTCTGGAGGCACTGACGAATACGAAGTGGTGAATATTTACCCTTTTTTTTAATTCCTCCCTGGATCCCAACAATAAGCTGAGCTGCCGGAATGGGTGTTCCGGTAGCCTAGTTTGCTCTCGCTGCCTATGGGCCCTGCTATCTATGCCCCCACAGCCTGCCCCCATCACCTCCGTACTTTGTCCTGTTGCTGTTGCCACTGAAGTCACCTCCCTCGCTGGAACAGACGCCAGACCGCCGGAAAGGAAGCCGCTGTTCCGGCAGCCTAGCCGCCAATGAGCAGATCGGTGCCCACAGAGGCATAAAGAGGAGGCCAGATCCACAGCTTCTGTTCCCGTAGTGCCACCATCACCAGCAGGCCAAGGTAAGGAAGCAAAGGGCGGGCAGGGGGGCAGTGGAAAAGGGATTCGTGGTTCGTCACAAATCCCTGGGGAAATTCGTGGGGAAACCTTGACGAACCACCAAAATGGCTCGTTCCCATTTCTACTGTTATCCAATCACATCTCACTGACACGGAGGTGTCACATCTATGCAACACGTCACCGGAACCCCAGAAACTACAACCGCACTTATTTCGCTCTGCAAAAACCCATTGAAAAAAGGTTGTTAGAAAGCAACTTAAGCAAGTGAAAAGAGGGGTCGTGCCACAGACAGGATCTCCTTGGTTTTAGGTATGCCTGCTTTTTCCATCCACCTGAAAACAGATTCTACTGAGGATGATTACAGGCCAAGCATTGTTTCACCGCCTCCGATTCGAACCAAAGCGAAGCACTACTGCCCCCTAGTGGCAGAGTGGTGACATGGTCCATAAATAAACCCAAAACTGTACTCCTTTCTCATAGGAAGAGCAAAGACTCTTGGTCCATAAGAAGATACAAAATATAGGAAATTGTAGAAGACGTTAAGAGTCACCAAATCTGGTCTAAAATACTGGCTCTGTACCTCTAAGATGCAGTGAAGAACTGGTGAAATATCAGGTTTTAGCCCGGTATGATGTACAGTGGATGGTTTTCGTTCATTTAATTAAGGACAAGACTCAAGTCAACTGCCCTCTGTCTTTATATTTATATTTATTCATTAATTAATTCAGTTAGTTAATTTGAATACTGCCCATCTGGCTGCAAGTGGATGAAAGTTGATGGCCTTAATCCAATTCTAAGTCTCAACTGGAGAAAGCCCATTGAGTCGACAGGATTTACATAAAGTAAGCGACGTGCTTGCTTAATTTGTTTGTTTATCTATTTACAATATTTTTTGACCCCTGCTTTTCTCCTTAAAAAGGACCCGAGGCAGCTGCCTTCATGGAAAGCTGGAAACAAGGACAGACTCATCTCCTCTTGTAAATTTGCTTTTAATTCCCATGTCACCAGCGATGCTCTGCTCGGAAATAAAAAAATCGCCCAACTGGTTTTTATTTAATTTCCGAGACTGGCGTGCCCTCTAGAGTCTAAAGCTAGCACTTCCTGCAGTTCCTCAGCGGGTTTTTCACCCTCCTGAAATCTTCCAAATCATATTTTTTTTAAAAATAGAAACAATGCTTTTAGGAGCAGGGGAAAAGCACAGAAATCCATATTAATGGTCAGTGTATTTCCTTAAAAAAAGGGAATATCATATAGCTAGCACAAAAAATACTGATCAAATCAGTACAGAATCCAGCCTGTTAAGTGATCTGCCTAGATTAAGTCTAAGTGACATGACTTATTTGATATATATTTTTTAGATATTGAGTGGATAAAATAGAAAATTAACAGTATCCTACCCAACTCAGTGCACTTTTCTCTTGCTGGTAGGTGCTGTCAAATCGTTTCTGACTTAGTGAATTAGGGACCTATCCTTCAACTTTCTCTGCTCAGGTTTTGCAAATACAATGTCGTGGTTTCTTTTACAGCGTCAATCCATCTCATCTCTTGTCCTCCTCTTTTCCTACTGCCTTCCTCTTTCCCCGGCATTCTTGATTTTTTTCCCCCAGGGTGTCTTTGGTCAAAATGAGATCGCCTCGGGGTAGTCCTCTGATGATCTTAAAGGCTCTCGTCTCGAACTCATCGCCAGCGCAGGTGTGGCTGATGGGACACGAGGTAGGGCCTTCTCTGTGGCTGCTCCCTGATTATGGGATGCTCTCCCTCCGGAGATCAGGCTGGCTCCTTCCCTTCTATCTTTCTGCCAACAGCTAAAACCACCCTAGCTAAGTCTTTGAATGCCTTTTCAAAGTTAAGCTAGTTCTTCATGTTTACTTGCTTTTAATGATTCAATTGCATTTTAAGTAGCATCTAGTTCAATTGCTTTTTCCAATGTTTACGTTTTTAATTCTATTGTTTTTAATGTTGTGGGTTGCCTTGGCTCTTCGGGAGAAAAAATAAATAAACTAATAAAAAGAAATGAATGGAGGAGAGGATCCCAAAATGAGCCATTCCAATGCCCTTTTGAAATTCACCCGTCTCCCATATTCATTGATGATTTAATTTATTTCAAATATCTCGATCCTGCCTTTCTCCTTTAAAAAGGACCCCAAGTGGGCTGGTTAGCAGCTAGCATTAAAAATGGGGGCAAACCCACTTTCTTACACTCATTTGAAATGGTAGGTTTCTCCATTTATTTTATTTCACTCCCTATCCATCTAAATGCCTGCTTCTTCCAAACTGCACAGTTCAGATTGCATGATTACATCCCATTTGGGTGGAATTTCCTTATTTTTTTTAAAGAAATAAATTCAGAGCATTGCAAGCCAAAAATGCAAGATTGAATCGGTCTCTGTGAATTTATGCATCTCTTTGCAACCTCCCGCTTTTAACCAAGCAGGTGGAGAAATTGACTTTCTCAAGCGTCCAATTCGGAAGTTATAGATTTCAAAGGCTCTCCATTTTAATTTGTGTCCCCGTTTGCAGGTAGCTTTAAAATGTTTGCTTGCTTTTAATGATTCAATCGCATTTCAATCCGCGTATAGTTCAGCTGTGTTGTTTTTTTTAATGTCGAAATCACGAAAATGTCAAAAATCCATGATTTTTAATACCAATACTCGGCTTCTTTTTAAGGAGAGAAAGGCAGGAGAAGGATATTTGAAAGAAATAAATCGAATTTGATCCCCGTTTCCCATCCGTTCCCAGAAGAGGGAAAGAAGAGTTTTTGTAGACTACAGACCTAATAATGGCACATTTTATGATGTCGCCTGCAATGTTAAGGGTGTGACTGAATTCCTGCATCTCCCAGGGTGATCTTTCCCATCATCTGCTAGCAATCTTTTGCTAAATTCAAGGACAAACAGATGATGATGGAAACCCTCTCACCCAGGATGACCTCAAGGCAGGCCCTTCCCTAGGCAGAAGAATTTCAAATGCAGATTTCAACTTTAAAAAAAAGAGCAGCTGAGAATTTGTTCAAATTGCCCAGGAGGCTAAAATATCTCCTTTTCTGTGATTCTTGATAATGGGGGAGGGTCCCTGTTAAGGATCGCTCTTGAAGAGAAAGATGACTGGATTTGGGGCCCTTAATCCAATCAAATGCCCAAGGATGAAGAGAATAATCTACAAATTAAAATAACAATTCAAGCATCTGATTCAGCCCCGCTGGAGGGCATGGGAATTTCCGCCCACAGGAAAAATGTGTTCAAAATTAAAGGTTTCAAAAGGCTGCCACAAGACAAGCCACTTCATTTCCCCCCAGGAACTATTTAATAAAAGATTGCTGGTTTTTTTCCTGATTTCCTTGGATTTCTTTAGTCTTTCTTGGGGAGGGGGAAGTTTCTGCCACCCCCTAGAATGCAGGAACTAAACCGAATGTGCATTAATCCATTAATCCCATTTATTTATTTTTTTCCAAAACTCCAAAAATTCAAAAGTTTCCAATCTGCCAAACACTTGTGCAACTCCGAAATCCAAATCCAATAGACAAGGAGTCAGATTTGGGGCATTTGAGTTATAAACTCTCCAGTTTCCATATATTTTCTCAGTTAAGAAAATCAAAGCCTAGAAAGACATAGATAGCTGCCTTGGGCTGATTTTAAGAAGAAAGGGGGGATAAAAAAATATTTTAAATAAAATGAAATAAAGAGAATGAGTGACAAAGGTCTTTCTCTTCAGGCGAGCTTTTCCTTAGTGACTGGCTGTCCAAGAGAGGGGTTTGTACAGATGGTTGTGGTCGGTTGCTTTCAAATGTTATTTTTAAATTCAATTTTTATTACAATTTTTAGCACGCTTATTTCATTATTTTGAAACCACCGCCCCCAATATTTGTACGCTTACTGCTTTTTTTAAGCTTTTAAATATTGTATTTTTCCTGACATAAGGCATCTTGGGTCCTTTTTAAAGGAGAAAAGCAGAGTTAAATAAATAAAGAAGCATTCTAGCTACAAAATATGAAGTAAAATAAATAAGTAAATTATTCCCAAACTTACGGTATATAAATAAAGAAACATTCTAGTTACAAAATATAAAGTAAAATAAATAAGTAAATTATTCCCAAGGGTGGTGGGAAGCCACATTGTGTGTGTTTTGGTTTAGTTGATATGTTACTTGAATGTTCTTTCTGAGGTCCTGTTTTGTTGTTGTATTATTGTCTTTATGATAAATAAATAAAAACCAATAAAAAGCAAAAAAAATGTATTTGTGCAACTTAATATTTGACACTTTTCCCTTATAAGTCCTCTTGAAATGCTTACTTATTTTTCTTAACTTGAATCTCTGGAGTTAAAAATGAAAGGCATTTGCTTTTATTCCCAAAAACTGGAAAAACGTCTCGATTCAAAAAAATCTGCCTTTCTACTATGCCTGCTCGCGCATGCGCACCCGCCTCCGACCTACTTTTCCCTTTTCGCTCTTGCGCACGACAGTTCCGAGCCCCGCCCGCCTATGCATCTAATTGTCTCCATCAGGACCAATCAGCGCCCGCTGTAGGCGGAGCTTACGGCCTTAGCAACTTCTCCAGTAGCTGGAGCCGCCGCCGTCCTATCAAAAAAAAGAGCGGATCTGCGCCTGCGCTCTTCCTCCCCCTCCCGCTTTCCGTAGTTTCTTCGCGGGCTCTTTTTTTTAATAGGGGTACGCGTGGGGAGGCCAGGGAGCTGGCTTATGCGCCTGCGCGTCCTTCCTTCTCCCCCCCCGAGGGGCGGAGGGAAGAGCACGCTCGACGTCACACGCACGCTGCCCCCCCCACTCGAGCGGGAGGAGGGGGGAAAGGAAGAAACGTGACATATTTGCGCATGCGTTGTGACTTTCTCCTTCCCTTATTTGGCGCCTGCGTAGAATACGAAAAAGGAGGAGGAGGGGGGGAAGTAAGGAAAACGCCGTTTCCGCGCTTGCGCATTACCGCCCTCCTCCGCACGCGCCTCGAAGCGAGTGGGCGGAGGCCCCCGAGGAAGGAGGGAAAGCGAGGAGGAATAGTGGGCGGGGCCGAAAAAGAAAAGGCCCTCTTTCACGCCGCGCAGGCGCGCTTGGGAGGTTGCTGGGCGGAGGGAGGGAGAGAGCGAGAGAGCGAGCAGCGAAAGGCGGCCGCGGCGCCTGCGCAGAAGCGACTCTCGCTCCGTGTGTGTGTGTGTGGGGAGGCGAGCGTGAGGGGCCGCCGCCGCCGCCGCCGAGGAGCTCCCTTCGCACGCGGGGAGGAGGAGGAGGAGGAGGAGGAAGACACGCGGGGAGGAGGAGGAGGAAGGAGAGAAGGCCCGGAGCCTCCGGAGGGAGAGGAGGAGGAGCGGGCCCGGTGTGTGAGGCGAGGCCCCCGGCCGCGTCCCTTTGAAACCGCCCCCCCTTCAACCGCTCGCTCTCTCTTTTCCCTTTCCTTCCTTCCCTCACAACATGTCGGCGCCGGCGGCCAAAGTCAGCAAGAAGGAGCTCAACTCCAACCACGACGGGGCCGACGAGATCTCAGGTGAGGCGGGTTCGTGTGTGTGTGTGTGTGTGAGGGAAACGGGGGCCGCCGCCAGCGGGCAGGCGGGCGGGCCTCCTTCCTTCCTTCTCCCCCTCAGAGAAGCCTCCCTTCCTTCCCGCCCTCACGGCCGCCGCCATCTTCTCTTTTTCCCCCTTTCCTTCCCTCCCCTCACGGCCCCCCCCCCCGCCCGCCCCGGAGGCGGGAAAGGAGGGAAAGGGAAGCGGACTACGCGAGGGGGCGCCTCGGCCGGATGTGTAGGCCTCGGCGGCGAGGGAGGGAGGGAGGGAGAGGGAGGCCATGTTGAGGAGCCCCTTTTGTCTCCCTCCCTCCTTCCCTTCCTCTCCGCCTTCCCGCCTGGGCCCTATATGGATTCCCATCATCACCACCATCATCCTCCTCATTTCGGCCTTTCTTTTCCTCCATTAGAGAAAAAACAACAACGAGAAAAAACCCTCCCCCCCACACGTTTCTCTCCTTTCCCTCCTCCGGGTCTAGAGGGAGATCTTCGTCTCTCAAGGCGCTTTCTTCTTTTCGCCTCCTTTATATATATATAGAATATGTTATTTTTTCGCTTCGCTTCCCCCCCCCCTTATTTTTAAACGGCTTTATTTTATTCCCCCTTTTTAAAAAAATTTCCCTGCCGCTCCGCCTCGTGTTTCAACCGCGTGGCTTTTTCGGACGAGATTTTTTTTTGAAGATAAATAAATAAATAAATCGCGTTTTATTCTGGGTGGGTTTAAATACAACGAGATGTTTTCCAAGCGCGCTTTAATGTGGGGGAGGGGAAGAGGGAAAGCGGGTGGATTTGAACCCTGAGGCACATTTGGGGGTGGGTTCACCCCCCCTAAAAAGGGGGGGAATGGACGATTCACCCTCCCTGCCCAAAATCCACCCTTCAGGGGCCACGTTTTGGGATTTCCAACATCCTCCCATCGCCACGTCTGAAACCTGATAGGGTTTTGTCTTTTTTCCCTCCCCGCCCCGTCCTTTTACACACGTGTAGAAGCCCCTTCACTTTCTTTGCGCCCACTTTTTTTTCCCTTTGGAGGGGATCCCATGAATATAATATAATTAGGCTCCCGCCATTCTGTGCAATATGCATATATTTACCAATATACCCTGTTTTCCCCCATGGTCTTATATTAATTTTTGCTACAAAAAACACATTAGGGCTCATTTTCAGGGGATGATTTTTTTTTCATGTACAATAACCTATATCTATTCAAATGCAGTCATGTCATCTTCTGGTTGCTGCACAAGGGTGGAGGGCAGGGTTTCACTTAACTACAGCTTATTTTAAGGTTAGGGCTTATATTACTATCATCCTGAAAAAGCCTACCAGGCTAGGTCTTATTTTTGGGGGAACAGGGTATGTAATGGTAATAACTGCAATATATAATGATATGTGGTAGCCACAGGGTTGTTGTTATTATATCTTGCAAAGCCGTACATTTGTCTCCTTTGAGGCCGGAAGGATCTTTTTCTTTCTCCTCCCTATAATGTGGCGGCCTTTTAAAACCCAGGGGCACATGGATGCCAAGGGGAGGCCCCTCCTGCCTTTCCCTCGCCCACGTGTTTTGATTCACCTTCGTCTTTACCCGCCCATTTTAAAGAAAGTTTTTGGGTAGGATGAGCTGTCCCGTTGTTTGCACGTGGCTGATGGCAGCCCAGCCAAAAATAAGGGATTGCACTGTTTTCCCAAGGAAGCGTGAATAATAGGATTGAAGGCTTATTTGTAAAGGCTGTGCAAGGGTCCTTTTTTGGCCCCTCGGGTTCATAAAAGGTCTGTCCCTCACTGCTGTTCCTCCCACTCAAAATGCCTTGAAATTCAGTGTCTCTTTAAGGGAAACCTTTTGTGATACAATCACCTGTTGAAAGGGGGATGTTGCCTTTTGAAATTAAAATTTTCAGGTACCTACTTATCCTTTGTTTTCTCAACTATACTCCTGACAGCTGAATCTTATAAGGCCCACCATATATATATGTGTGTGTGTATGTATGTTTCAAAAGAGACAACTGTGTGTGTCTGTTGAAGCATTTAGAACAAATAAATATACTCCGGACAGCTGAATGTTATAAGGCCCACCATATATATGTGTGTATACATGTTTCAAAAGAGACAACAGTGTGTGTCTGTTGAAGCATTTAGAACAAAAACAAATAGGAACAACTTTTTGTGACACTTTTTAAGAGTAACAGATTTAAGTGCATTGTAAGACTGTGGCACCCTTTATCCCCAGAAAGAAATGGTCAGTGGCCGTGCTAGAGAATTTTTTTTGCTTTTGGCTCATGAAACGCTGGTGTGAATTGTTGTCTTTTTTAAATTGGAATTTGACTGGTATACTATTTTTTTCCTCAGACAAAGAGCAGCAGGAAGCGATTGAACATATTGATGAAGTACAGAACGAAATAGACAGGTAACCCATCTCTTGTAGCTGTTTCTGTAGAAGGTGCTGACAAGTAACATTAAGTGGGGAATTACACCTTGTGTCGTTTAATCTGCAATCTCTTTCATAGACATTGTCCAAAATGTGTTTTTTTCATGAATTGACAGAGATGCAATGTCTGCATTGCAAGGAACCTAAAAGCAAAGAAGGATACATTTATTTTATTCTCCCTTTTTTGTTACACTTTTAATGTCAGTAGTCAAATGTGGGAGACATGTTCTACATTGATGCAGTTATGAACTTGCAGTTTATTTGTAGCTTTGCAGGCAAGGTAGAAGGAAGGTCTGCCTGTGGATAATTCTATGCAGTACATTAGCAGGATGGATTTGACTCAGCCTCATGTCAAGCTTTAATGTGAGAATGTGTCTCTACAGAGTTGGAACACATGAATTCTCCACAGTTTAGATGGGATATGCTGGTCAGTCAAAATATTTGTAAGCATGTTGCTGCTGCTTTGATCTTCTAACTTCAGCTCCACGCTATGTTTTGATCTTGCCTTCGTTTCAGACTGAATGAACAAGCCAGTGAGGAAATTTTGAAAGTCGAACAGAAATATAACAAACTCCGCCAGCCATTCTTCCAGAAGAGGTCGGAACTGATCGCCAAAATCCCCAATTTTTGGGTAACAACATTTGTCAACCACCCACAAGGTATGCGGAGATATCTCCAGGTGACTTGCAGCCTTCAATGTTGTGGTTTCGAGCATCTTATAAAATGCAGGAGAGCTGGAAAAGAAGAGAGGCTGTGTGATGCTACTTTGTGCCTCTCTGAAGCATGTTGAAACAAGGCTGTTGTTTTTAGTAGAGAAAAGTAACAAAGGTGCGGTGCATTACATCTGTGAGGTCCTGATTCGGATATCTACTGAGCCATAAGTTAGAAATGTCTTGATGGCACCTACTTATTTTTATCAACAATGTCTTCTATGAAAATAAAACCAGTTTTCATGCCAAATTGAATCCTCCTTTGGTTTGTCTTAGTATCTGCACTGTTGGGCGAAGAAGATGAAGAGGCGCTGCATTATTTGATTAGAGTGGAGGTGACGGAGTTTGAAGATATCAAATCAGGTTACAGAATAGATTTTGTAAGTGTCTGGGCACTGCGCTGGACTCTTTATGCGTATGTGGGTGGCCAGGAGGACTGCCCCGGCCTCCTTGCTGCACGATTACACAGTATAAAGTTGTCATCCTCTACGTTCTTCTCTTGACTGCAGTATTTTGATGAGAACCCGTATTTTGAAAACAAGATGCTCTCCAAAGAGTTTCATCTGAACGAGAGTGGGGACCCGTCGTCAAAATCCAGTGAAATCAAGTGGAAATCTGGAAAGGTACGGACAGAAATAGTCAAGCACTGCCCATTGAAAACGGTGACCCTTCCATTTTCCTCCGGGTTTCTTTAATCTAGTTACTAATGCAGTGTTTTCTCCAGCTTAGACGGCTCCCAAGTGAAGTTGGGTTACATCCAGGAGATAAACTCTTGTTTTTTTGTCTGTCAGTGAAAGAGCAGGAGTAGTACTATGTTCCAGAGGAAGAGAGCATACAAATTTCAAAGCTGGGTTGCCAGTGGTGTCACTTTGCTGCTTATTTTTCAGTATATTATTGATATAGGAATGCCTAGATAGATGACTAAATCATAGAAAAAAATAAGACCTGTAAATGTTTTTACATTCGGCTTTCTCCATTGTCCTGTTAATGAGTTAAATGTTCAGCCACGCTAATTTGTTACCTTCATTATTTTATTTATTCGATTTATATACGGCCCCTCTGGCTACCGAGGCCACTCTTACGCCACATGAAGAATGTTTACGGGGGGTCCTTCAGAACGTCCAGGATTGGAGGGACTCTGGCACTCATTCCTCATGATTGCAGGACCTTTTAAAATTATTGTCTCTCTCTCACACACACACACACACCTGAATTGGGTGGGAGTTTCAGCCTTTAAACTGACCTGCACAAGGCCCTGCTCAGGCTGTTCCTGTGAAGTCATTTAGGGGAGTACTTGGAGGAGCTCCCCAGAACCCCGTCAGTCGATAGTGAGGTTGTCCCATGATCAGAACACACATGTGGAACGTGTAAGCTTTAACGGTCACCAGGGAGAAGATCGATTTTATACTCTTTGGGGTTTACTGCTTTTGGGCAAAGCTGGATCTTTCTCTTTGTTTTTCTTAAAGGACCTGACAAAGCGCTCCGCTCAGACACAGAACAAAGCCAGCCGAAAGCGGCAACATGAAGAGCCGGAAAGCTTCTTCACCTGGTTCACCGACCATTCTGATGCGGGGGCCGATGAGCTCGGGGAGGTCATCAAGGACGACATCTGGCCGAACCCGTTACAGTACTACCTGGTAGGAGCCTTGTGGGAGGGTGGGGGAGTCTCTCGGCGTGGCGGCCGCGGGGCCTTGGGAGGCGTCTGTTACGAGAAAGGCGCTAATGTTTCAGCCCTTGTCGCATCAGGTCCCCGATATGGATGACGAAGAAGGCGAGGGGGAAGAGGACGATGACGACGACGAAGAGGAAGAAGGCTTGGAGGACATTGATGAGGAAGGTGATGAAGATGAGGGTGAAGAAGATGAAGATGATGACGAGGGAGAAGAAGGGGAGGTTAGAACCTGAAGCCTAATTCTTAGAATGACCCCAATTCAGTAAGAAATTATAAATGGCTTTTTAAACTCCCTAGCTCATATTTGGATATAGGTATGCACCTGTAGTATGAAGGTGCTTGAATGGTCATTTTAGCCCTTTTTCAAATTTGGCTTCCATTAGCCGCTCTTCCCCCCCCCCCCCAAAAAAAAGCAGAGTTTATCAAAAATAGGTTCGCTTCAGAAGGCACAGAGTTGTCAGGCAGGTGTGAAGGGACTTCCAGAAGAGTAGCAGAACTAGGAAGGATTTTACATAGTGTTTGTGGCTTAGCCAACTGGCTTGTGGGGAAACCTTCAGAAGCTTTGCTGTGTATCGCGTAAAGGTGTGGTTCTTTGCTAGTCCTGGGCACCTAGAACAGGTGATGGACTCTCCAGATGCCGCAATCTTGGGTTAACCTTTTTATCTCTCTTTCTTTTCCATCTGGAGGAGCTTCATTGGTATCGGTGAGCAAGCGTCTGGGATATGAATCTGGCAACGCGTTCGGGCTTTGCCTTTTTCATTTCTTTCAAGCCGACCTCCTGTTCCATGTGTGTAACTTGGCTTTGTGCGCCTTTTGCGCATCGGTTGTCTTCCTCGGGCCTTGCGTTTGGTCGTCCTGTGCATCCTCTGGCAGGGTTCTTAACCCGAAGAAGGAAGGGCAAGGCGGAGCGCCCCACCGAAGAGGAGCACAGCGATCCTAAGTTTCAGCTCTCCTATGCCATGTTTTGCAGGGTCTTTATGTGTTGCTTTTCTTTTTCAACAGGAGGATGAAGGCGAAGATGACTGAAACTCACTGACAGATTCCAACCACCCTCTCTACCCCCTTTCCCCTCTCCAGTCCCTGGGAGCAAGTAGCTGTCTATTCTATT